ACTTGGATCAAGATTGAAAGAGCTTCTGGTATCATTCTCATAGGTTCTGACAGTGTTCTCAGAGTAGCAAGCACAGTAAAAATGGTGCTTGCATTCAAAGGAGAGCTCTGGAAGAGAACACATCCATAGAAAACAACAGCAGACACAATAGTGGGATATATCCAATACAATATGGAGTTATAAGTCTTCTGCATCTGCATTTCTTTTAACCATTTGAACTCCTTTTCACGAAGCGAATCGATCAAGCTCTGGAACTTTTCTTCCCATGATTGCAACTTAATGATCTTCATGTTGTTAAGCACTTCAGAAGTGGACCTCAACCTCTCATCCTGAGCAACCATGAAATGGAACTGACACTTCTGCAATGACTTAGCAAAAGGCACACTCAGGAATCCACAGATTATAAGAGGAACCAAACCAAGCAAAGCTCCAGCACCCACCACCCAAAACAGCACTGCAATGGACAGAACAAGTTGCAGCCCTGAAGCCCAAGCCGTATGAAACCACCATGGAAACTCCCCCATTCTATAAGCATCAACAGCAATATAGTTCACAATCTCTCCAGCAGAGTGATTCATCCTCCCTAGACTAGAAAGCTTCAACAATTTCCTATACACTGCCGCCATCAAAGCCGACCTCATTTTCATCCCTGACCTTCTAGACTCAAAGAACCAATGCCTCTGCCCTAAAGACTCAAACACCTTACACACAATCAAAAGCCCTACAATCGAAACACCGTCTCTCAAATTCCTTTCATTACCAGTCGAATATTCAACAAAAGCAAACAAAATAAGCGGGGAAACTACAACAGAAAGTGTTCTTAGAAGAGTGTAAAACGCTATCAAAACATTTTCGTTCGTGTGCACCTTCTTAATGGCCTGAAAAGCGAAGTTCCCAGAGCCGGAAGAACCATTTTCTCTCAAGAGTGAATCCCAAACACCGGAAAATCTTTGGTAAGCAAACTCTGCTTCATCCTCCGAATCAAGAGGAGGAACATCCTCAATTGTTAACGCCCTCGAATAACCCAATGAAAGTAAAGGATTAATCCAAGAAAAAATCAATTTGCTGAAGAGACCAGCCTGTCCAATGCTGGATGAAGATGATTCAGGTTCTTCCTTCTGTTTGTCTAGAAGAGGTTCCGCCATGATGAACCTCTAAAATTTGCAGGAATGGAAGCTCTGAAAATGGAGAAACGAAGCCGTTGGGATTTTCATGCAGAGAAAAAGGAATATTTTTTTTTTTTTTTTTTGTTGGATAACTTTTTAAAACTTTTCTTTTAATATTCCTTGTAAATTAAAAGGCTATTATTTTGGTATATTTTTCAAATGTTAGCATAAATTCAAAATTTAATTACAAAATATATATACAGTTATTTTTAAGAAAATTAAAGTTACTTTTAAAAAGTATCATTATTAAAGTGGTTGATTAAAGTGAGTGTTGAGTATGTCGGACCGACATGTATCTAACATATTTTCATACATCATAATCTAAGTATCGTATGACTTTAAAAAATTAATGTCTTTAAACCGTGTTTTAACGTGTTAGAATTCACAAAATTAAAAATGTATGAGAAACCAATAATGAAAAAAGCGGGATCCAAGAAAAACGTACCGTGCCGACTTAAGAATAGAATTGCTAAAAAAAACTTAAAAGAATTGAAAGTTACTGTCTATAGCTCCTCCATATTTGGGGTATTTAATTTAGCAATTAACATATAATAAACTCAATCTAAATGGAACTTAATTAGAACATATCAATAGAAACTAATTTATAATAGATAATTAATAAAATTGTTGCACTGCCACGTCAGCCAAAACGTGGCCTTGGCTACACTTGATTAGAACTCCTAGTCAATGCCTTCCCATTGACATGGTAAATATTATATGTTTTTTCTAAATAATAATAATTTAATATTCCATTTATCTTTTACATTTATAAATATTTTTAACATTATTGGATCGATTGTCAACGTAGAAAGTAAATATTGGATCGATTCACAATCAACGTCATATGAGATGAAAGTCCCACATCGGTTAATTTAAGGAATGGTCATGGGTTTATAATCTAAGAATACACTCTCCATTGGTATGAGGCCTTTTGGGGAAACCCAAAGCAAAGCCATGAGAGCTTACGCTCAAAGTGGACAATATCATACCATTGTGGAGAGTCGTGTTCGTCTAACATGGTATCAGAGCCATGCCCTAAACTTAGCCGTGTCAATAGATTGGCAAATCCTTAAATGTCGAACAAAGGACTCCAAAAGGAGTCAAGCCTCCTCGAAGGTACGAAGGCAGTCAAAAATGACTAAGACTCCAAAGGAGTCGAGCCTCGATTAAGGGGAGGCGTGCTTTGTTCGAGGGGAGGTGTTGGATGATGAAAGTCCCACATCGGTTAATTTAGGGAATAGTCATGGGTTTATAATCTAAGAATACACTCTCCATTGGTATGAGGCCTTTTAGGGAAACCCAAAGCAAAGCCATGAGAGCTTACGCTCAAACAAAGTGGACAATATCATACCATTGTGGAGAGTCGTGTTCGTCTAACAAACATAATATAATAAACACAATCTAAATTGAACTTAATTAGAACTTGTGAATTTAATTAGGGTAAATAGAAATTAATTTATAATAGGTAATGAATAAAATTATTGCACTGCCACGTCAGCCAGAACGTGGCCTTGGATACTCTTGATTACAACTCCTAGTCAATGCCTTCATGAGATTGTAAATATTATGTTTTTTTTAAATAATAATAATTTAACATTCATTTATTCTTTATGACGAATAAATAATAAATAGAAAGAATCTCGATATTTTCAATATACTATAAATCTTTAAAATATTTCTTTAATGCTAATGAACTCCACTTAATTTTTTTTTTTTTTTTTTTTATTGATATGAGTTTTGAATAATTTTTAACTAATAAAATTGGTGCTTTATTTTATATAAATTATTTTGAAGTTAAAAATTTATTAAAAAAATACAAATGTTAAAAAGAATTGAATATTTAAAGTTCAATATTTTTACCTAACATTTAGTTTTAGAAACGTGTAATATTTGGATCTCTATCGTTAAAATTCAACCAACGTTTTCTTAAGAGCATGTGGGTCAATTACATGAGAGTTTATGTTGAAGTCGATTTTGTTCGTCTAGTCAACTAATGTAGAATAGGTAAGCAACAAGAGTGTTGCTTTCGGATCAAAGGTAGCATAGGATAGAAAGCTCTAAACTTGTATATCTTTGACAATGACTCATCACACCCGTTTTCCAAGAGTATTGTTCGCATTCAAGAGTAAAGTTTGCTAAGTTTGCTCGATACTATTGTTTCGAATTCAATAAAAATAATATGGTATACATGGACAATTATATCATTTTCTTATAATAACCATACTTTTATTTTAATATAAGTTTAAATTTCCTACTATTAATATTAGATCTACTGTTTCCGTCCGACTTTTGTGATATAATGAAAATTTTCATTCATCTCATATGACGTTATCGATCCCGTAGAACAAATATATCTACGAATTGACGAAATTTTAATACCCTACTTATACATTTTATTCCTGTGGAATTAGACATAAAAAAAAAAAAAAAAAAAAAAAGTTTGTTAAAAGCGTGTGTCATACCTTATCATTCCTATAAAGCCTATAAAGCCAATGTCCAGCCATTCTTGCTGCAGAATGTCCCATACTAGAGACGTTTATCTTTAGTAGACAAGGAATTTATGGATGATAAAATGATGATTTACCAGAAATTGTGATTTGGGCAATAAGCAAAGATGAAAAACACAAAATGTTCATTGTCAAAGGCGATGCTTATGTTAAAGCCAACTCCAAACGAACGTATCGATCTAAGCTAGTTTCTAATAGACATCTATGAGAAATGGGTATAAGAGAAGGCGCATGAGGAAGGAGAGTGACAATCGATTGTACGGATTGAATCTAGTTCGTTACGGGAGGCCATGGGTAGACATATTAGAAAGGAAGGGAGATGAGGGCTTAGGATGGCAGGTTTTTGCTTCATGTATAAGTTAGGTGGTAGTTTAGATGGAGAGGAAGATCTTAAATTCTTCCCTTGACTTCTTGGTTCAAGAACTCCCTCGTATCAATGTCCTCTACGCCAAAAACTGCCCCTAATAGATGATGCAGGAACAACTACGAAGTTGGTGACAAATCCCCTCATGAGGAAATAAACAGCCTTCCAAATCCTAGTAAAATCAATATTCTAGAGCAGAATTTCGCATCAACACGAAAGTTTGTGACATGACTTGATTTGTTGACAACAATAATAAAAAAGAACCCAAAAAAAAAAAAAAAAAAACGAAACTGTCCCAAGATCACTAGGAAAATTTCCATACAAATTAAGCGGTTAGGAGAATGATGAGAGCCAAGTAAAGAGTGATTTTCCTTTAATCGACTATCGATTCCTTTTTTTATGGTACCCGAGAACAAATCCAATGGAGACGGGGTTATGACAAGTATCTTAGTTGAACAATATGTTGATGATTGTTGGGATGGAGTCCCACATTGGTTAATCTAGGTAATGATCATGAATTTATAAGAAAAGAATACATCTCCACTAAAACGAGGCCTTTCGGGGAAGCCCAAAACAAAACCATGAGAGCAGAACTTATGTTCAAAGTGGACAATATCATACCATCGTAGAAGTCGTGATTCCTAACCCAACACTAAATAACTATTTACTTAGAAAAAAGCACCGGTAAGAAAACAAGTAGGTACTACAGGAGTTCTAAAAAATTTCTTCCAATTGAGAAATTCTCAAATCCTTTGTAATATTGGATGGATTAAGAAGTGAGGTGAACACAAAGCTAATGATGAGTTTTAAGTCCCAGTCCATGCAATGGTTGTTTCCTCTCTTCAATCTTTTTTGACTAAGAAAGCTAAAGTCAGCTCCTGGCTCCTGGTTCAGCTTAGAAAGCTTCTCCAAACACTTACACCATGAGATAACCTACCTACTCCATAGCAACAGCCTTCATCAAACTAAAAATCCAAAAACGAAACGACTTCCAATACGTAACGATACTTAACTATGTGCTTCTAGTTAAACTGTGAATGAACTTATCAGTTTACATAATTGATAATCATTATTTAGGGAGGGATACCAGACTGATGAATGCCATAAAACTTCAGAGCAGCAGCAAATGAGTGGGCCATAACCACAAGCAAGCATTCCTCGCAGCAAATCCATCAGCCTTTTTGCATCATATTAGACTGATCAGTGCTTTTCAACTAAGACTTCCTCATTTTAGACCGAGCGTACCTAATAAAAGAAATGAATCAGTCATAATATACTTAGGCCATTAATAAAGATTCAGATGTAATTTATATAGAAATACTCTATATGCATGCCCCCGCGGTCTGATGATGGTAGCATGCTGCCCTGAAGCTCCTCCATAACCTTGCTAGCTTGTTCAATTTCCTGGAATAAGAAAATCGAGTAAAAAGAAGTCATATTCAAAATGTACTTCATCACTCTTTAAGCATAGCAGAAGGCCTACTACTTCCGTGTTCATTTTAAATTGAAATCTGAGAATGCTCAAAGTTTCTCATTTGAATATTTAGAACAGCAGAGATTTCTACTAGAACAGGCTCCTCCATCAAAGATCATGCTCTGAAAGTGTAATGTTCTTATAAAGAAAAAATATATATATTTAAAGCAAGATTTGTCCTCAATGCGCAGTGCAGTAGATTGGATAATAGTAAAACAACAAAAAACTAAAAATCTAAAACAAAACCATTTCAACTTCAAATTCTTAAGGATTATAAAAAATACTATGTTCAATGAAGAATTAAAGCAAGGAACAAGTAGAGCATAATATAATTTCAACAATTCCCTGACGCAATTTTCCATACCTCAAAATCAGCAAATGCAACCGGCATTCCACTTTTAGCACGCAATTTGAGCACGTTGAATCCAGGATATCTGGCATCATAAGAATGTCACCATACAGCTCTCATAAAGAATAATAATTGTTCGGTTCATTTTGAGTATTCCAATGGCGCAACAAAACTCTTACCAACATAGCATTTATCGTGGTATCTTTGATAAATTTGGCAATCAACCTAATGAACTTATAAAATATCTACAGTCTGAGACATCATAATGATGTAGAGCACTAGGGTATCTTAGATGCAGTTGGCAGCATACATTATATAAGGTATGACGGATAAACGTTCTCAAGAAATTAAGGTTCAAACAATTTTAAATACAATTTTAACGGGATTAACTAATGTGATATGTCAACGCCTCATTGAAACAAGAAATTGTTAGGTATCTGGGAAGCTTTATGTCACCATACAAGAGGGTTGTTTCTCTCACAAATATGCTCTAAATTCTCGAGATAAAAGGATGCCTCACTCTCTCAGAGCACGTTCCTCCATCTTGTTGGATGATAAAAGTCCCACATTGGCTAATTTAGGGAATGATCATGGGTTTATAAATAAAGAATACTCTCCCCATTGGTATGAGGCCTTTTGGGGAAGCCCAAAGCAAAGCCATGAGAGCTTATACTCAAAGTGGACAATATCATACCATTGTGGAGAGTTGTGTTCGTCTAACATGGTATCAGAGTCATGCCCTAAACTTAGTCGTGCCAATAGATTGGTAAATCCTCAAATGTCGAACAAAGGAATCCAAAAGAAAAGGAGTCAAGCCTCCTCGAAGGCAATAAAAAATGACTAAGATTCCAAAGGAGTCGAGCATCGATTAAGGGGAGGTGTGCTTTGTTCAAGGGGAGGTGTTGGATGATGAAAGTCCCACATCGGCTAATTTAAGGAATGATCATGGGTTTATAAACAAAGAATACTCTCTCCATTGGTGTGAGGCCTTTTGGGGAAGCCCAAAGCAAAGCCATGAGAGCTTATGCTCAAAGTGGACAATATCATACCATTGTGGAGAGTCGTGTTCGTCTAACATGGTATTAGAGCAATGAGCAGAGCCCACGTCGACCTTTTATCTAATAAATGCATCCATTCCAAAAGTCGGGGTTTGTTGCACGTATTAGCTCTAGAATTACTACGGCTATCCGAGTAGCAAATGTCGAACAAAAGACTCCAAAAGAAAAGGAGTCAACCCTCCTCGAAGGCATAGTAAAAAATGACAAGACTCCAAAGGAGTCGAGCCTCGATAAGGGGAGGCGTACTTTGTTCAAGGGGAGGTGTTGGATGATGAAAGTCCCACATCGGCTAATTTAGGGAATGATCATGGGTTTATATACAAAGAATACTCTCTCCATTGGTATGAGGCCTTTTGGGGAAGCCCAAAGCAGAGCCATGAGAGCTTATGCTCAAAGTGGACAATATCATACCATTGTGAAGAGTCGTGTTCGTCTAACACATCTAACAACTTTCTCACAATTTTTTTTAACCCTTTCTAGTATAAACATGTACAATAGGTGGACTAACATCATTCTTCCTAGCATTAACGTTCACAAAAGGAGGCCTAACAGAAACAAAGCAGTAAAGGAGACAATATCATGGCACTTAATTTCATCACAATTCTCACTAAAGGTAGTTAAAGAACAATTGAGCGAGTATAACTCACTTGGACAAAACTTCCTTCAGTTCATCTTCATTGCAGTTTGGACCAAGATTTGCGATGAACAAAGTGGAGCATGGCCCACCATCATTCTTTTCATGATGCTCCTGCAGCAATCAAAAATCAAATAAAGCAAACCATATTGAATCGCATGGCTAAACTCTAATAAAGCTATCACTCACTGGAAAGGAATATGTTTACTTTTCACAACTTTCAAATTAGCATCAAACGATTTTCTGCAGAATGTTCATCATCACCTTATTCAATCGTGGGCAAACAATATAATTCAAAAACATAATTTTCCAAACCTGGTCTATTCAAAACTTGAAAAATACTAATCTGCATGATGAATTGGCATAAAGTAAACAGATGCAGACCACATAAGACTAACAGCTACACCAGAAGTATTTACTTCGACGTTGTAATACAAAGATGAGATTGCATTCTTTTACATTTGTTCTTAATCCTAATAATAGAGATAGAATGACATACATATGGAGCAGATAGAGGATTACCAGGAGCCACCACAGCCTCGTTGCTGCATTGTTAAGACGGGAACAAAAATCTCAACCTCAAGGCAAAAAGTTTACAAGATTTAATACAAAAGCTTTATATCCTAGTGATGCTATATTCTCTAATATTATATTTGAGAGTAATCAAACTTTTGTTTAATGCTTTTTCCAACCTTTGTTCGGTTTTCTTTGATGGTTCATCCGGTTCACTGCCTCCTGAATATATAACGGAACATCAAATATGCACGTAAGCCCCACAATTAAGATTGTGTGGCAGTGTATCAAATGAAATTAGACTACATAAGGAGCAAACAAATTGGAAGCAAAAAGATAACAAAAATCTGCATAATGAATCTTGGTAAAGTACATTTCAAACACGTAGGAGAGAAAAATATGATACAAGAAAACAATGTTAAATGTTAGAGATAAAAGCATTTCACCATCCTCGCTTGATGTTTCCTGGGCATTGGAGTCACTTTTTTTCCTTTTATCTATCACAACATATGCTCCACCGCCTGTACAGATCAACATTGAATCCGATCACAACAAAAGATTACCTTAGCATAGTAACTAGACTTAACAGGAAAACCATATTTTGAAGCTCTCACCTGGCTTATGTTTTCTCCTAGAGTTTGACCTAGCGAGTTCAATATGCAGAACTGATCCACTTTGTGGGTCAAATTTGACTCCCTGGTATAGCACCAACCATTATGTTTCAACATTAAAATTTCACAATACTGATCAAATTCCTAATAACATAACTTGCTGGAGAAATAGAATGCAACATGCAAAAGAAAAATAAACAAATTCTACTCAGCTCAACAACTGACGAGAAATCAAACGCATGCATGAAACTGTCTATAGAACACAATCTTACATTTAATGCATGAAGCGCTGTCACGGCTGATTGGTGATTGTAAAAGGTGGCGAACGCCACAACCTGTGAAAGCAAAAGGACCTATTAGAAACCGTAACCAATTTGGTATATAATATATCAAAGCTTGCAAGAATGGAAAAAGAACCGATCTCCTATTTAATAACAATGCTAACCATGAACCTCGATTGTATTGTCCAGCTTTTGGTTTCCCCCAAAAAGCCTTATTCCTGTTCCTTGATTATAAACCTACGATCTTCCTCTTCATTAGCCAAGGTAGGATTGCTCTTCTCAATAATCCAACAATCCTCCCCTCCAACAAAGTACACTATAGAACCTCCCCTGAGGTCTCCTTTTCTGGAGCCCTCGAACAAAGTACACCATTTGTTCAACACTTGAATCACCTTTGACTACACTTTCGAGGCTCATAGTTTCTTTGTTCAACACTTGAGACTTTTATTAGCATGCCTAATTTAAGGGCATGACTCTGATACCATGTTAGAAATCATAAACCTCATTCTGGAATAGTGTTCCTTAATTATAAACCTGTGATCTTCTTCTTAATTAACCAATGTAGGACTGCTCCTGTCAATAATCCTCAACAAGTAGTAAACAAGGGAGGAAAATTAGCATTCCTGGTCAGACAAGTAAACTCAGATGATGCTTAAAACCCCCCAATCAATCTGTATCCTTGCAGTATCCAAATTCAAGACGATAGAAAACTGCTAAAATCACAAATTAAAAGCTACCCTCAAAAGCATCCTCTCGCGCATTTTCAAACAACACAATAATTAAACTCAAACCTAAAAATTTCCCCCTCGTTTTCTTCAATCCTATATTTTCCGCTTCCTATTCCTCGCTAACAATAGCTTTCTTCGGCCACAATGGAAAAAATGGGAAGAGAAAAGGACACGAAACGAAAACCTGGTTGCCGCGCCCAGTGTACTTGAGCTGGCACGAATCGAAGCCCGGCCGACGACGGAAAAGGTTATGAATCTCGCGAGCCTTGACGTCGTCGGGGAGGCCGGAGATGAAGAGCGTGTTGATGTTGTTCCGGTCACTGTAGTTCGAGTCTGGTTGATGATAGAGATAGTAAGGATCATAAGTCTGGTGAGCCATCGTCGAACAACCGGTGGAATTCACGGCGAAATCGATGTAAATTTGGCCGGAATTAACTCCGAGCACGGCGGAGTGAGAAAGTGAGTAAAAAAATCCCTCTTTAGTGTGTTTATGTTTCGGTCCAATTTTAAAATTTTCATACAACACTTAACCTTCCAAATCCTCTCTTTCATCATAACTCATTATCTATTCAATATATACTTTTTTTTTTTTGGTTAAATTTTAAATTTTTAGTTTAATTCATTTCTCAACTTTAATTTGTTAATAAGTTTAAAGAAAGTGATCTATTAATTTTAAATTTTTCAATAAGTTTTTTTCAAAAAAAAAATTAATTTAATAAGTTTAATATAATTTTTTTTTTATGTTGGGTCAAATAAATTTCTAAATTTAATATTTTATATCTAATATATTGCTGATATATTCTAACATTTTTTCTAATTCAAAATATAAATTAAAAGTTTAGAAAAATATTTTATATTTTTAATGTTTAATCTCTCCGTCCACATAAAATTAAAATTAAAAAAATATTTTTTAAAATTAAAAAATAAAAACTCATTCTTTTAAAGTAAAACCCAAATTGGAATAATTTGTTAAGCTATGCTCTAACTCAAGTTAAGGTCAAAGAAAGTCGAATTAAAAAATTGAATCAATTATCTAATTTTTAAATTAAATGGGAAGAAATTAATAAAATAATAATTCGTGGGGTTGATGGGCAATAATTGAGTTATTTTTCTAAAATTATTTTAGTGCCCAAAAGCCCTAAATTGAGAAATTCGAGAGCATAAATTTGGTGGTTCCTTTCTAGGAAAATCCGAATCCCCAATTCTGCGTGAATAGTAAGAAGATTCAAGATCTTCGAATCCTCTGTTGGTTAATTGATGGCGCAATAAATGATCGAACGCAATCAAAACAAGAAAATCGAAGAATAAACACAGCATTAACTTGCAAATGATCAATGAAATCGAATTAAACATTACAATGATTTAGAAGGAAGTTGAAGAACCAGGAGCATTGGAGCCGACGGTGAAGACTGCAGTAGCTTCTTCGTCCAAGAACAGATCATCCGTCTTCCTCACAGCGGAGTGAATCAGCACAAGCACAGCACCGATCAGAATCGAAAGCAGGATATTGAGCGTTGCGTTGGTCAGAAACAAGAACGCGAGCGTGAGCACCGCGAGCACAGCCAAAACTACTCGATCGGCAATCAGACGGCCGAAGAAGAAGAGAGGCTCATCGCGTAGGAAATACAGGAACAACCAAACGGCAAGCATGGCGGCGAGGACGATGAGGGAGATCGGATGCCACAAGAGGCTCAAGAGCAGGATTATGAGAACAATGATGGCGTAATTCATACGGAAGTAAGCTAGGTTGTTCTTGATACGAGAGAAGGCCTCGTGGAAGTTGAAGGGAAGATTGAAGGAGTGGAAATCGAACATGAGCCTCCATGGAACGCGAGTGGCGAGGCCGGCTTTGAGGCGCTGTTTGGCGCGGGAGACGAATTCGAGATCGGAGGAAGTTCCAGAGGGGGCGGTGGTAGGGATGGTGCCGTAGGAGGCCATCGAAGCGGCGGAGATTTCCGACGATCTGGAGAGGAGATTTTGGAGAAGAAGGCCGTGGAACTTGTGAGCGCGACGGAGGAATGAAAGGCTTCGTCGGTGGTTTATTTGACTTTTATTTGGGTATCAATTGGAATTAGAATAAAATGACGTGTCCGATTACGGGCAATGAATAATAAAATAATAATAATAATAATAATAATAATAAAGAAGGTTAAAAAGCAATAAATTAATAAAAATACGTGTTTAATTTTTAATTTTTCAATAACATCCTTAAACTTTTAAAAAATTCTTAATAATAATAATGAAAGGAGAATAGATAACATTCCTCAAATTAGTTAACGGTTAAGTTTTCCTACTTATGAGTTATTTCAATGACTAGCTGACCTTTCCATGGTCTCTAAGACTCACAACATAAGCACGAAAAATTGTTCAATGAATGTGGTATCCTACTAGGGTCCTACTCTCATAATCGACCTGAGACTCGCTAGAAAAACCATGGCAAAACTAGGGTCTACACAACCTCACATGAGCTACGGGAGCATGCCTAAATGTGGTCATCTTGACATCAACACATATTCTCTAAGTCTCTCAGGTTAATAACAATATTTCATCGTCATGGTCGCATCCCTACCGAAGTAAAGTCCAGAAGCTTTTAACACAGTTCCTTCAACCAACTTTTTACTTAACTACCTTCATGTGACAACTGTTGTACTGACGCTCCTCTTGGTCTTGCTACAACTATATTATTCTATGATTTTTACATCTAGTTCGATGCTCCTTTATGAGTGAATGTTGGTGTTGAAATTTCTTATGAAATTTTCCACCTTAAGCATGAGACGATGGCTCAAAGAATGCATGTGTGCTAACGTCAAGAAGCACTTCCATGAGCATCGCTTGCCTCTCATGCTCAGTCCTCTCAAAGCACTTCCACATTCGTGTTTCATTGATGGGTAAAACTCCTCCCACTCAAGGAGTTTGACTCCAACTCCCAAAGTTATTCTAATTTTGACTCACAGTTGCTCTGTCCAATCTAGCACTCGTTACACACTTAAGAAATTTTCAATTAACCTTCGAGTTCATTTCTCTGGCTGTCTTGTTCGACAGCTTTTCATACATATTTGACGTTGTCTTTAACAGATCCAATACTGTCTTCTCCTTGACAATGTTGAATGACACGTTTTTGGACAGCAACAATTAGATCAACCTTAGAGCCTATCAATCCTTGAGCTTCTATTATGTTTCTAGACAACATCAACTGGATCAACCCTAGAACTTATCAATCTTTAAGCTTCCACTATGTTGGACAACATCAATTGGATTAACCTTAGAGCCTCTCGATCCTTGAGCTTCCACTGCGTTTCTAGATAGTGTCAACTAGATCAACTCTAAAGCCTACCCATCCTTGAGCTTCTACTACATTTCTAGACAATCAACAGGATCAACCCTACCCTACCAATACTTGAGCATTTACTGCTTTTCTTGACAGCATCAACTAGGTCAACCCAAAAGCCTACCGATCCTTGAGTTTCCACTATGTTTCTAAATAGCGTCAACTAGATCATCCCTAGAATTTAACGATCCTTGAGGAATTCTCACCATTACAACTCTACACAAGTGACCATCTCTTCCCAGACAAGGTCTTCCAGAAACTGGTTCAACCTGCTTATCCATCAAACTTTTCGATCTCGATCTTTGAATTTTTCATCTTCATGGATCATGGTGAATCTTTTCTAGATTTAATACCATTTTTTAGATCGCACAACTCACACATTCGATCCCAATAAAGAACATGAAAAACATAAAGAACATAAGAGAAAAGATGTAAGGAGAAATATACATGGAGACATCAGATGGAAAACTCCATGATAGCTAGGGTTTATCTATAGATGACTTCAAGTAGTTACAGATAAGAAAATCCATCTTAAGAAAAACTAAATAGGAGAATAGATAATATTCTATCTTAGAAACTATACACAAGAATGGATAAAATTCCTTAAATTACTTAACTATTAGGTTTTATTAATTCTTAATAAACTTAACTCATGAGTAAACATCAAGCTACAAGTGTCCCTGACTTCTAATATTGAAGCATTCTACGGCCTTGAGGGGTTGATCATGGATTTATAAGTAAGAAATACATCTCCATTGGATTGATATTAGGCATTCTATGGAGACTAAAAGAAAAGTCATGAGAGCTTATGCTTAAAGTCGACAATTTTATACTATTGTAGAAACCCCATCGCTCAGTGGTAGAGAGTTAGTCTTGTAAACTAAAGGTTAGTAGTTATTAAGTGGTTGATCGTGGGTTTATAAATATGTAATACATCTTTATTGGTGCAAGGCTTTCTGGAAAACTAAAAGCAAGATCATGAGAGCTTGTGTTCAAAGTGGATAATATCATATCATTGTAGAAGCCCTTATAGCTTAGTGGTAGAGCGTTAGTCTTGTAAACTAAAAGTTTGTAATTCAATCCTATGTGGGGGCAAAAACATAGGGAGTTGAGAACATAATATCATAAGATGGAATGGAGTGTATACCATTGTAGAAGCCCTTATAGCTCAGTGGTAGAGCGTTATTCTTGTAAACTAAGGGTGCATACCATTGTAGAAGCCTTTATATCACAGTGGTAGAGCGTCAATCTAGGCCTTTATGCTCGAAGTAGTAAGGAAAACATTTCCATTAGTAGGCGGCATTTTGGGGAGACTGAAAGCAAAGCCATGAGAGCTTATGGTTAAAGTGAATAATATTATATCATTGTAGAGCCCTTATAGCTTGGTGATAGAGCGTTAGTTGGGTATCACAATCCACTCTTGTGGCAACGTGCGACACTTGTTCTAATCCAGCGAACAAGTCAACCGTGAGAATTTTGTGAGACAATGTCGGCGTATGATGGAGCCTCGAGTCACGTTTGCGAGAAATGTTTTAGATAATGTGAGTGAGGAAATACATTTGAAAATGAAGAAAGCAACGTTATATGGCTTTAAGCAAAAAAAGAAACATCACAGCTTAAATAGCATAAAAGAATTGACAACTAGTTGTATCTCTTTAGAGTACTTTTTGGAGTCATTTTAACTATGACGGGGTAGACATGACATAAAATGGTAAAGGTCTATCTAAGATGAAAGCATGTAAAGGGAGTTTGGAACAAGCATGCAGCCATAGACAACACGTCTTGGATAAGAATGACCAGGACATCCAACATGCGACCATAGACAACACGCCTTGAACAAGCATGACTGTGACATTGGGTAGCCTCATGCATTCATGCGAGAATCGATTAGGTTTAACCACTCCACATTCTCTCATCATCATACCCCTACAACTCGACTTTTCTTACACATAGCAGTTAGAGCCGTTACAAAGAAAAATAATTTTATAGTTTTAAAACAAATGAAAAATATGCAAAAATGGTCATCTATTAAAATCTTGTACGGGTACCTCTTTAAAAAGGTTGAAGACATGCAACGAAAAAAAATGTTCAAACAACATAAGAAATTAAAATCAAACGATAACCGACTACCTAATTCCTATAAACTAGGTGTTCACAACTATAGTTTAAATCAACGACCAAAAGTGAGAAAACGTCTATCAATAAAAAGAAATTTCAATAAAAACATAAAGTCCTTGAGTCGCCTCATGACGGACTTCTCCACCCTACTCATCGCCTTCGTGCCACAGCGTCGCCTGAAAATCGTTTAAAAAACAAAGTGAGTATTAAAATACTCAGTAAGGAACTCCCCTATTGGGGTCAAATACATAAATCATCACACGAATATCAAACAAAATCGAGAGACCTTAGTGGTTAATTACACGAAACACACAGCCTGTAATTATTACCACATGAAAATCGACATCCTCCTAGACCTTAGTGGTTAATTACACGAAACACACTGCCTGTAATTATTACCACATGAAAATCAACATCCTCCTAGACCTTAGTGGTTAATTACACGAAACACACAGCCTATAATTATTACCACATGAAAATCGACATCCTCCTTTACTCCTTAAAATTGTTATCAATGGCTGGTTACCCGAAACACACCGCATGTAACCTTGGCCTTGATTACCATTTTCTGAAATCACTCGAAGAGTGACTATTAGTGGCTAGTTACCTGAAACACACAACTTGTAACCATTACCACAAGAAAATCAACATCCCTCCTTACTGCCTTAAAATGATTATGGAAGGTTGGTTACCCGAGACACATAGCGTGTAACCCTTACCTTGAAAATCATTTTCTGCAATCACCCTAAAGAGTGACTATCAGTGGCTAGTTACCCGAAACACATAGGGTGTAACTATTATCACAAACACAACATGCATGCATTAGATCCCAAAACATTTGATTTCATGGACAAACATACCTTATGTCATACAACTCACAATGTTTATCAATCATCAAATATTGTCATGCATACAACAGGTCTCATAATGTTTGTTTGCATGATCGAAACACTACACAACCATACAATGAAAACAAAACATTTAATTTAAATAGGAAAATCTCTTACTTGGAGAGCTGTTTTCCTAGCCTTTCCTAATCGATAACGGTTCCATTCCCACTCAAACCGAGCCTTCTTCCTACGTAGTGGTTGATTCTAATCCTAACTATCCCGAGAAGAAACCGCGTAGTACCTTAGTTGCGTTTACTCCTCTAAATGTCGGTTCCAGCGACGGCGGTGGCGTTCACTTATGGCGGCCATGTGAGTGATGGGCGACAGTTGTCTGATGTGCAAAGGAGCGCGGGGTGATGTGGGCAATAGTCGATGGCGGGATGATGTATACGTTGGGTGGCGGCAGCTTAAGGAAGAAGATGATAAAGAAAAAAGGGAGGGCAGCCGCTTAAGGTTTGTGAGTGGCTCACTTGGCTCAGGCTTCTTGTAAAAAATGAGGTTGGCAGCTGGCTAAGGGTTTGGCTAAATAGCTTAACCGTACAATTTATTTATTTTATTATTATTTTGAATTGGGCCTTGTGCTCAGAACTTGGGTCTTACAATACTCCCCAAAGGGAACTTCACTTAAATGCACAAGGTCTACGCTCCCTCCCTTTATCTTGAGCCTTTAGCTTGGAAGAGCTCAAGCTAGTTGATCATCATTTCTTCTTTCCGTTCTCAAGTGGCTTCTTCTAGCCGGTGATTTCGTCATAATACCTTGACAAACGCGATCTCTCGACTACGCAAGGTCTTCACTTCTCTAGCCACAATTTGCACTGGTTCTTCCTCATAGTTCAAACTCTTATCCAATTGCAGGAGTTTTAAATCTATCACATGCGATGGATCTGCTATGTATAGTTGCAGCATCGATACATGGAACACATTGTGGACTCCTAAAAGCACAGGTGGTAGAGCCAATCGGTAAGCTACTTGTCCCACTCGCTCCAAGATCTGAAATGGTCCAATGAAGCGTGGGCTTAACTTTCCTTTGCTCCCATACCTAAGAATGCCCTTCATGTGGGCCACCTTAAGGAATACTTTGTGTCCCATTGAAAATTCCAAATCCCTTCATCTCACATTAGCACACTCTTTTGCCTGCTTTGGGTCGTATGCATTCTAGTCGTTATTTTTTGAATAGCCTCATTAGTTGCTTGCACTAAGTTAGGGCTTAACAACTTGTGTTTCCATACTTCATCCCAACACACTGGAGATAATTGTTGTTATAAGAGAACTCTATGAGATGCAAGTGTGTGTCCCAGCTGCTTGCAAAGTCTAGCATACAGGCTCGTAGCATGTCCTTCAGAACTTGGTTTAAGCGTTCAATTTGCCCATGCGTCTGTGGGTGAAATGTTGTACGAAACTCTAGTCGTGTACCTCGATGACGTTAATATAACACATGCGGAAGCAATTTGGATCTTAGGCACTTTTAGAACATCAATTATAGTAAATAACTAACATGTTCATAAGTATTAAAACTTAATGAATTTGAATACTGACTTTTTATAGTTCAAATTTCTTTTTTCTCACGAACCAATTTCGAACCACCACTAGTGTCTTCTCCACTATCCTCTAGCCTTAGAATGGGATTGTGGAATCCAGTGAGTGACTAAACTTGGGAGTGATTTAGTATATATGAAGAGAGAGCTTGTGAGAATTTTCTCAAGGTCTTTTTTAAGGAAGAAACCTTCCATGTACCATGATCACTCTATTTAAAGAGTCATGTTTGCATGTTCATGCAAATTTGAGATCACCAAATTTTGACACTCAAAATTCCACTCAAATTTGTGGGGTTTATTTGGCAGCATGCAAGTTTGGTTAAACCAAATTTTGACACCTCAAAATTCCACTAACATGGATTTAAGTCAACATTTTGACTTTCTTCATTTTAATTCAACAATTAATTTGAATAATTAATTGCAAATTAAAGTAACATTAAATGATTAATTAAACTATTTAATTAATATTTAGTATTAATTCAAATGTCAATCTCAATCAATTCCGACACATAATTGATTAAGATATTTAAATCTTATTTAAATATCTCAAATTCTCTCTTTTTGTTTAATTCGTAAATAAAACAAAAATGCAGTTAAATATATCGTATATATGTAGCGCATATTCCATAATTTGAATTCGAACACTTCGAACTCACTCGTCACAATGTTCTATGGTTTAGTCCGATATGAGCTAGCAGAGGGACCTAATGGACCTATAGATCATGGGCTTCAACGATCCAAGATTAACTAGTTAAACTCATTAACCTTGTTAACCAACATTCGTTAACTACTGGGACACTCCACTATAGCCTAGTAGTTGCACTCCCCTCAATATAGATATATTTCTGTCCATTTGATATAATCATGATTAGTAAGTTGATCCTTCACAGGTTGTTCGTAACTAGGGCTGGGTCAATTAGCCGTTTTACCCCTGAAGTTACTTTTTGTTCCTTATGTCCCACTGATTCTCTTATGAACAATTGGTTTGTGGTCCAACCAGTAAACCAAATCCCTCTCAGGCCAATGAGTGAATGGGGCCCTTGTTCAAGACCTGGAGTAAGTACTTAAGGGAACTACCTCTCTTCTATCCCTAAAAGTGGGTAGGAGCGAATTTCATCTTGCACCCCACGTCCCCAGTTATTCACCCAGTCTTACCTCTGAAATGGGAGGCCTATTGAGTGGCGAACTCGAGCCACTCTCACCTATGCAAATCTAAGGATAATTCTAAATGAACAGGAGTTCATGGTTAGCTCAGGATTAAGATCGAGTTACCTAGGTCATCGAATCAAAAGAAAATCAGTCTCAACAGTAAATGACATTATAAAGAGAGAGTGATTTTCTTCATGGTTCGATCTTATGCAATACTCATTGCATAGTATGCCCCCACTCACATGTCTTCACATGTACAATTTAGTGATCACATTGTTTATATCATCTACAAAAGTGAGCCGCATTCATAGTGTTCCCAGAATAAGGTACTCAGCCTTATCCTTATACTATAGATCATTTTGACTATATATTTGAACTTGATCCACTTTTATGTCTCTACATATAGTTCAAGTAATCATACTATAGCCAGAGTGTTCTTAGTTTATTGGATTTAGATTAATGATCGTAAAGTTCACTTTATTCAATAACAATCTTTACTGAATAAATATCAATAATAACTTTATTGAAAATAGAATATGTTTTTGTTTACAAACTATGAGTTTTAGGACATAAAACCCAACATACCTAATGTTTGCTGAAGCCTTTTCCAAAACTTTGATGTGAAACGGGGATCCTTGTCTGACACAATGAATATTGGTACTCCATGCAGTCTTACTACTTCCTTTAAGTACAACTGAGCTCATTTATCCACAGAATAGGTGGACTTCCCTGAAAAAAGTGAGCTGACTTTGTGAGCCTGTCAACCACAACCCATATAACTGTGTACCCTCTCACCGTCCTGGGTAATCCACGATAAAATCCATGGCGATGTTTTCCCGCTTCCATTCAAGTATGCTAAGTGGTTGTAATAGTCTCGCTGGTTTCTACCTTGTTGCTTGACTTGTTGGCAAACTAGACACTTGCTCACAAACTCGGCTACATCACGTTTTATATTCCCCACCAATAATGTCGTTTCAAATCCTTATACATCTTGGTACTGTCAGGATGTAGGGCGAATGGTGAGTAGTGAGCCTCGGTTAGGATCTCTAACTTTAGTTCTTCATCAGTTGGAACACACAACCGCCCATGGTACATGAGTCCCCCATCAGCTGTCAATGAGAACTCCTCTATTTGATTGGCGTCTATTAATTGTCTTTTTCGTCCAATTCTGGATCCACATGTTGTCAATCAATAAGACGTTGCCTCAAGGTTAGTTTTACTGTCAGCTGCGTCAATTGAGCTACGACTTCCCCCATGGGCACAGCTACACCGGTGCGTTCCAAATCTTGTTAGATAGCTTTATGCGAGGTGATTAGAGCAAACGTGTGTGCTGACTTTCGGCTCAACGCATCAGCTACCACATTCGCCTTCCCATTTGATAGAATATCTCCACATCATAGTCTTTGACCAACTCTAATCTCCTACGTTGTCTCATGTTTAACTCCTAAGTAAAGAAGTATTTATGAGTATCTCCACGTCATAAGCAATAACCTTCCCTTGATGCATGAGGACACAACCTAACCCCTTTTTTGAAGCATCACTGTATACAACAAAGCCCCTATTTCCTGACAGCACAGTAAGTATCTGGGCTATCACCAGCCTCTTTTGAGTTCTCGAAAACTATCCTCGCAATGATCATTCCAGGTGAACGAATCTCTCTTCTTGGTCAACTCAGTGTGGGGGGGGGGGGGGGGGGGGGGGGGGGGGGGGGGGGGGGGGGGGGGGGGGGGGGGGGGGGGGGGGGGGGGGGGGGGGGGGGGGGGGGGGGGGGGTGGCGATCTTGAAGAAATCCTGCACAAACCACTGATAATACCCTGCTAACCAAGAAAACTTCGTACTTCAGTCACAGTGGTCGGACGAGGCCATTTCGTCACTACTTCAATCTTTGTTGGATTTACGGTGATCCCCATTCGTGACACCACATGTCCAAGGAATCCTACCTTTTCTAACTAGAACTCGCACTTTGAGAACTTTACATAGAACTTGTTCGTCCTCGAAGTGGTCAACACCTTCTTGAGTTGTTCCTCGTATTGCTCACTTGTCTTGGAATACACCAGGATATCATCGATGAACACGATCACGAAGTTGTCTAGGAATTCTCTGAACACTTTGTTCATTAGCCCCATAAATTTGGTGGAGCGTTAGTCAAACCAAACGACATTACCCTAAACTCATAATGTTCATACCTTGTGCGAAAGATTGTTTTTGAGATATCACTCTCTTTAATACTCAACTGATGGTAGCCTGATCGTAAGTCGATCTTTGAAAACATAACTGCTTTGCAACTGATCGAATAGGTTGTCGATCCGAGGTAAAGGGTATTTGTTCTTAATTGTCACTTTTTTAAGCTGCCGATAGTCCATGCATAAGTGCATAGATTTGTCCTTCTTTTTCATAAATATCACTGGGCTCCCCAAGGGGACACACTTGGACGTATAAAGCCTTTGTTCAGTAGCTCCTGGATCTGCAACTTTAGTTCTTTCAGTTCAGTAGGGGTCATTCTGTACGGGGCTCTTGAATAGGGGTTGTTCTCGGCTCAAGTATAATCTCGAATTCCACATCACGCTTTGAGGGTAGGTTGAGGAGATCTTCTCGGAATACGCCAGTGAATTCTCTCACTATTGGTACTGAGTCAATGCTCACCACGGTCCGCCCTATTTCCACCACATGAGCCAATATCCCCCAAGCACCATGGGCGAGCATCTTCCTTGCCTTTAATGTCGAGATCATCTTCGGGACTATTTCTGCTCTGGTCCCTTGAACTTGAAGCTTGACTGGCCAGGGGTCTGAACACAACTAAAAGCAACGCCATGAGAGTCTATGCTCAAAGTGGATACTAGGACACAATTATAGAAGCTCTTATGGATTAGTGGTAGAGTGTTAGTCTTGTAAACTAAAGGTTCCATAGTTCAATCCTATGTGGGGGCAAAAATTGATACCATACCTTTTGGGGAAAACTAAAAGCAACGAGAGCTTATGTTTAAAGTGGACAATATTAAAACATTGTAGAAGTCCTTATAGCTTAGTGGAAGAGTGTCCTTCTTGTAAATTGAAGGTTTGTAGTTCAATCTTGTTTGGGGGCAAAAACATTTTATGAAATTTTTATTGTATTCGTAAGTATATCATAAATTTTATAAAGTGGTTGATCATGGATTTATAAGGAAGGAATACAATATGAGGTCTTCATATTCAAAGTGGATAATATGATACTATTGTAGAAGTTCTTATAGCTCAATGGTAGAGCGTTAGTCTTGTAAACTAAAGGTCTGAAAGTAGTTGATCTTGATAAAATATTACCATTGTAGGAGCCCTTATAGCTCAGTGGTAGAGCGTTAGTTTTGTACATTAAAGGTATGTTGTTCAATCTTGCGTGGGGGCAAAAACATGTTGTGAAGATTTTAGTGTATATCATGAGTTTATAAATCTTCATTCTCATCGCTTAGCTAAGTGGTAGGAGACCTTTATATTTAAAGTGGATAAAATATTATTACCATTGTAGAAGTTAAAGGAGGGTATTGTATTGTTAGGCCCTACAGTGTCACAACGTAAGCATATGTTCGAGCCTCAAGTCACGTTTTCGAAAAATGTTTTAGTCCTGGGACATTTTATATCAATTACCGTACATTTTGGGACATTTTAGTCATGGCAGATGTAGACATGATTTTGGTGAACAGTCATACACACCCCCTAATTTTGGTGAATGGTCATACACCCCTGTATTGATAAAACATGAAATGGTAAAAGCCTATCTAAGATGAAAGCATGTAAAAGGGGTTTGGAACATACATGCGGAAATGGACAACATGTCCTGGATAAGCATGACCGAGACAATCAAGAGAGTGGATTGTGAGATCCTAGATCAGTTGGAGAGGTGTTGGAGAGAGGAACGAAGGAGCCAGCAAGTACACTGGCCTCAGTGAACTAGGAAGTTCGTTGGCCCCTCAAGAGGGTGGATTGTGAGATTAGAGAGGAATGAAGGATCCTAGTTTAATTGGAGAGGTGTTGGAGAGAGGAATGAAGGAGCCAACACGTACACGGGCATCTAAAGGAGATGGATTGTGAAATCTCATATTGGTTGAAAAGGGGAACAAAGGATGTGGAAACCCCTTCCTAACACACGCGTTTTAAAAATCGTGAGGCAGATGACAATGCGTAACGAACCAAAACGGATAATATCTCCTAACTGTGAGTTTGGGCTGTTACACGTTCCCTTGGATTTTCTCTCCAGTTGGGAGCTAATAAAATGGATGTTTTCTCCTCATACAAAAACCAGAGACACCAAAGACGAACATTTGGTATCTGAAATTCTGTACCGATGTCGATAAGACGAACATTCGGTATCTGAAATTCTGTTCCGAGATCGATAGAGGCCTACCAAATTTTATTGCAGGTTATCAGGATGCAACCGTGTTCACCCTTATCAACTAGCATGTGGGGATGGGGTGGTGAGAGGATTTGAAACGTACAAAATCATTTTAGGACCGCAAAAATCAACAACATTCAATGTAAAACACAGCCAATGTGTTTGGTTGCTACAATTTGGAAAGTTTATAGATAAGGAACAGATTTTGCTCTGATGAACTCTTTGAGAATTGCTTTCTCTTCATCCATGCGCTTCTTCTCATCACGATCTTTAGGATTGATCTTGCGCTTCTCATCCAAAATCCACTTGAAAAGCTCACGCTACTGATCCACCGGAATTGGTTCCCTTACCTTCACTGGCTCCACAATGGCTGCTCTGGCCAATGATTCCTCAACAACAGGAGCAGCAATCCTGGCAGTTTTAGCTGAATCCGAGGCAGCCTCTTCTTCAGCTACATCATGTTCATCTTGCTTCTTTGTCCTCATAAACAGATAAGCTACACAATTTAAAGACTTGTTTCAGTTCATGCAAGAGCAAAAGGTGAAAAAACGTATTAGAATATTGCTGCTATCCTATAATTCCTTGAAAAAGAGCTGTGGAGCAGTATGAAAGTGTGGGGGAGTTCATCCCATCCCTGGTGGGAAACGAGAATAAATCGTTCTATTACGGATTAATACGTGCATACCATATTCTCAACTTTAGACACTAATTTATATTCAAGAGCACTGTAACAGCTCAAGCTCACCGCTAGTACATATTGTCCGTTTTGGCCCGTTACGTATCGCTGTCAGCCTCACGGTTTTAAAACGCGTATGCTTGGGAGAAGTTTCCACACCCTTATAAGGAATGTTTTGTTCACCTCTCCAACCGATATGGGATCTCACAAACGACATATTCAATTCCCCATGTCGTCAACCATTTCGATCTCTCTCCATGTATAAGGAAAGTTCCGTCTTGAGGAACAAAAGAAACCAAGACGATAAAAGATACAATTATACAAAAATGTGATGGTTGAAGCTTAATGCCCCCTTTTCCTTCCAACCCCTAAGCCTTCGCAACCCCCCGATGTGTTCAAGTAAGAGATTGACATCAAACAGGTCCCTGATTTTATGCTTTTATTATCAGAATGGCTCTGGATATATTTATGTACGAGTTTGTTCAGTTTTGGCACAAAGTGATTTGCAGTAGGTATCTATGGAATGAATGAGAAATATGAACATTTAGAAATAGAAAACATTATATTAAGTAACCCAAAGATCAAAGTGGGTAATGTAGATTGACCAGATTTTTGGGAGGATGTTGAGCAGGGGATGAATTTTCTCTGGCTGAACTGTATCAAAATTTGTACGAGGCTCCATTAACAACCGAATAACAAAACTCGATCTCCCGATTAGGTATTTAACGGATTCGATCAAACAAGTTAACACAGCAACCAGAAACTGATACACAAACCATGGAAGAAGAGAGGAAAATTACCTCCAACAGCAAGGTTTACAGTCAAAAGCATGGGCCATATGAATTTATATCGCCTTGCAAATGGTTCCTTTGGAGGCGGCGGCGGCGGCGGTGGGGAAGACGCAGATCCCATGTTCGTCGATACTTGTGGCGCCGGTGAAAAAGAAGCGTCTCTGACTTTGTGCTGATCTTGAAATTGCACAACCTAAGCTGTTTACAGATGGAAAAACAAAAACAAAAGCGAAAGGAGATCGATCATCAATCAAAATCAAAACCGCAATAATTGAAATCAATGATTGAAGCGGATCAGTTCTTGGAGTAAACACTTTGAGGCTAAACTAGAAAGAAACGAAGAATCGGGGAATGGTACCTTTCTTGGGTTAGTTGGCGTAGAGCTTAGGAGTTCCTTCGCCCATCTCCGATCACTGCGAGTTCCCTTTTTCTCAGTCTTCTGTATTTGATGGCTCATTTGGCTTCTTCCCTCAGTAGCCATGGAGTCGCTCTCCGGCAGGCCCTACCATTGGAAGGGTGTGTTTTATGAAATAATATTTTTTTTAAAAAAAAAAGGTAAATGGTCAAAAAAAAAAAAAAAAACCTTTTTTATTTACTTCGATGGTAAATAATTAAGTTTGAAAACGTTTATGAAATATCAATAATAATAGTTATTATTGTAATTAATTGTATTTTTTTAAAATTAGCCAAAAATAATCATTTTTTTAATTGGACAATATTTATGGTAGAAAATCTAAATGTGTATTCTGTATATATATAATTTAATAAATTACGAGTTATTTTTAATAAAAAATATTAAAATTATTTTTAAACAATGTTGCTAATATTTATGTTTAATGCAAATTTTTTTTTCTTTTTAACTATTAGTTATAATTATTAAACACCATTTATTTTCCTAAACAATTATTAGTAAAAAAAAAAATTAATTTTTTTATTTATTTTTATTACTATTATTTTTTGTAGTTTTCAAAAAAAAATTATTACTAATTTTTATTAGTCAATTTTTTGTAAAGAGTTTAATAAATTTCTAAATTTTTTATTTTAAAGATTAAAAATTAAAAATTAGAAATTTTATTGACAAAATTATATATAATTTAAAAATGATAAAATTGATTTTATATTTGTGAATATTTTAAGGTTAGGTTGAAGTAAAAAGGGAAGATATGGATGAGGGGGAAGCAAACGACAATTTGTCCACACTCATCAAATTCACAAACCCAGTCTCGATTCCGCGTCCTCCACCGCCGAATTGGAATTCGAATTGAAATTGAAATTGAAATTGGGGATTTTCATTATGTTTCCAAGATTCTTCACACACATCCATTTCACTGAACCAATTGAATTTATCCTCTTTTAGTTTCCAATCCAAACGGAGCCTCGATTCAATCGTCTCTTTCTCCCTCTCTCCCTCTCTCCGTCGTGGGTTTTCGTTTTTTTTGCTCATTTTCCTTTCTGTTCTTCGTTGATGCGCTTCAATGGCGGCTTCACAGTCATATTTGTCCCGTTTCTTCACTAGTTTCTCATTTCAAATCACTGACTACTCTGAAGCAGGCTTACCCATGTTGTTCGTATGCTCTTTCTTCGTCTTCTTCACCTTCTCCGTCCTCGTTTTCTCCATTTCTCTCTACAAAAAGTTGAAGAAACTTGAGTTTGAACATCGTCAGCAACTAATCACTAAGCCGATTGAGCCTAAGAGAATAGATATTGGGTATTCTGTGGCGGATTGTAATGAAACCGATCGGACCTGTTTGAGTCATTCGCTTCTGTTTGAGATCTTACCACCCGATTCTAAGAAATGGGCGAGTTTGTTCGTTGAAGAGGGGTGCGATGAACAAGATTTGAAGGGCGTTGAATTGAATAAGGAATTTGGGGATTCTGGTCAGGAGCAAGGGGGGAAGAAAAAGAAGAAGAGGGCAAAGAAGAAGAGGGGGAATTTGCAAGGTGGAGATGAGAATGAAGATTGGGGAATGAATGTTGGCAATGGTTCTGAGCAGGAATTGACTTTGTTGTATCCTTTTACACCGTCTACTAGTGTGATTCAGAGGAAGATTAAACGGCAGTATGATGAGCTTATGAAGTGTCAGGAATCGAAGGAATT